TGGGTTGATAGTCATTTGAAAGCTCTTTGAGTCTATATTCCAACAAGACAAGAATCAACTCATTTGGATTTTGGTGGAGAAAGTTAAGAGCAAAACAACCAGCAAATGTCAGAGTTGGTAGAAATATATAAAGGGTTAACTTTAACGAATAAAATGTACATACTCAGATGTCCAAATATGACAAATTAGATGTCACTGGAAAGAATTTTGAGTCTATTTCCTAATAAAAAAAGGAAGGTATGTGGAAAAAGTTAAGATTAAAATAGTCAACAAAGTCAAAGTTGACAACATGTTATTTCACTCAAATTGCCTTTGGCTACTTTTGTGTCCACTACCGCATAAGTTTTTGCACAAAACTAGATTTTTTTTGTGTAATCGTTTACAGGGTCCTTGTAATCGATTACAATGGCCAAAATGACCTATTTGAGGACTTCACATAACTTGGTCATGACACCAACATTAGGTCTTTCGTCCACCATGGAGTGCCCAAACCTCAGTTTTCAAGCTCTACTCACACTTACACACTAAAAAGAAGTCTCTTCCATTCAAGAAATATGAAAAAATTACGAAAAATCTCTTTAGCTACTTATGTGCCCACAGCCGGCTCCTACAACACAAATTTTTGTACAAAACCAGATTTTTTTTCGTATAATCGTTTACAGGACCCTTGTAATCGATTACAAGGGACTGTATGGCCTAGACTCCCCAAAGGCAATTTGAGTGAGATAATATGTTGTCAACTTTGACCTTTGTTGACTATTTTAATCATAACTTTTTCCACATACCTATGTGATTCTTTTTTTATTAGAAAATAAACTCAAAACTCTTTCCAATAACTATTAATTTGTGATTTTTGGATATCTGAATAGGTGCAGTTAATTCCTTAAAGTTAAAGCTTTATATATTCCTGACAACTCTGACCTTTGCTGGTTGGTTTGCTCTTAACTTTCTCCACCGAACTCCAAATGCGTGATTCTTGTTTTATTGGAATTTAGACTCAAAGAGCTTTCAAATGACTATAAACCCATAATTTTTGGACCACTGTACAAGATGCAGTTAATTTCCAAAAATACATATTTCTAAACTTCCTAAATGAGTTTATTTTCAAGTTGTTGTTTCATGTTTCTTATTTTAGATGGATGAGTGTTTTTAATGGTCATGGGTGGTGTTTAGTACACCAATGTGTTTATTGAATTGTTGACTAAAAAGAGCATTTAGATGTGTTCCTATAAATGCTTAAAAAAAGTAAAAGTCTTTATAAAAAAATTTAAAAATATAAAATTCTAACCTAAGATTATAAAAAAAAAATATAACTCAGATTTTGGTTTCCCTCAGTTCTAACATAAAATTATAAAAAAAAAAGTATAAAATATAACAGAATTCGGTTTCCGCAAATCGAATTCTCAACTTAAAAGAAAAGTGTACTGTGTAAATATAAGTCACAGTATGCTATATGCGTAATAATAAATGCTTTCTGCCTTATGTGAGAAAAAAAAAAATCAACTTTTGAGTTGTGAAGTTTAGAAAGTAGTCGTGGATCATCTAGAAGTATTTTTAGTTATAAATCCCTTCTAAAACACTATTTCATATTAGGAATATTTTTCTAAATCCAGAAGCATATTCTATTTTACATAATTCAAAAAAAAATATGTGAAAAATATCTTCTAGATTAAGAAATTCATGGAAGAATCCAAAAATACAATTTTAAATGGCAATTTGTTGTTTTGGTTTAAATAATCCAAAATAAGTCACTTCTCGTTTAAGAAATACACAATTTTGAGAATCATATTGCACAATTTGGAAAAAAAAACTCAAAATCTGAGATCCAAAGCTCCTCAACAAAAAACAAAAATTAACTTAACTCAAACATCTACCCATCTTCATACTTCACAATGTTCACTTAAGCTAAATTTTGTGTAAAAAATGTATCTCGACACGAAACTCCATTTCCATTTAATAAAATAAGGACAAAGTAAAAAAAATGAAATTAAATGAAATTTTTTCACAACTTTATTATATAAAAAATGAAAATATATATTTTTTTCTACATAAATTCATTACTGGTTACCATGTATATTCCATAAAGATCAAATAAATAAATAAAAATAAAAACAAAAACTTCATCTGATAGAATCATATTAATTGTAATATGAAGCAATCTATTTATTAGTAAAATTGGAGAAATATTATTCTGGTCTTAAACTAATTGCAGCCTTACACTTTTAAAAGAAAGCTGATGATTTTTTTCCGTATTTAATTAAATAGTAACTATTTCATTCATAATTTCTTTCTAATTAAATTAAACGCACTTATAGAAGATAAAAATACTGAATTCAATGAATTTGTGCTATATTTAATGAAATGAAATTATTATAATCTATAACATTAATAAGGAATTCCTATTTTTGATGTGGACAAATATTACATATTTATCCTTCTTATTTTTTAACTGATTATTTATTTTAACTTAATTAATTTTTTTAAATTAAAACGATTAAAATAATTATCTTATTATTTTATTTTTTAAGTAAACCTTTATTTAAATTTAATAATTTTTTAAATTACATTAATTACTTACAACAAAAAATTTGTAGACAAATATATGTGTCGCATGTTTCAATAATAATAATAATAAACAACTGCAAAAATTATTTAATTTATTACAAAAAGACTTGAAATTTAGTGATTGTAGAAAATGGGGTAAGTAGGTGAGTATCAAATATGTTTGTTGTTGTCAAGAGTTAGAAAAATTATAGTTTGCCACTGCAAGTAGGTGAGTGAGTTTGTTTGCTACTTATAAAAAAAAGACATGATTGCGATTTGCATGTGAAAGCTCCAATAGTTTGAGATGAGCTAAACAGATTCTCCTGTGCCGCAACGACCCTGGTTTCTCGGTCTTCGATGTCTGCGCACAAATCTTCCAACTACCTTCGTGTAAGACTTCAAATGCTACAAACATAAATACTGTTACCACTTTGCAACCAGAAAAGCCATTGTTACAACTATCTTGGTCCCGAATCCATGGAGAAACCTCACATAGTAGTGGTTCCTAGTCCTGGCTTCACCCATCTGGTCCCAATTCTTGAGTTCTCCAAACGCCTTCTCCATCTCCTCCCACATTTTCACATCACATGCTTCATTCCCTCACTTGGCTCACCTCCTTCTTCCTCCAAAGCTTACCTTCAAACTCTTCCATCAACCATAACTTCCATTTTCCTTCCCCCCATCAACCTTGAACAAAAGACAGATCCCTCTGTTCTCGCACTTCAAATCGAACTCTCTGTCAATCTCTCTCTACCCTACATAAGGCAAGAATTGAAGTCCCTATGTTCAAGAGCAAAGGTTGTAGCTTTGGTTGTGGATGTTTTTGCAAATGGGGCATTGGACCTTGCCAAGGAACTTAACCTCTTGTCTTACATTTACCTCCCTCAATCTGCCATGTTGCTTTCTATGTACTTCTACTCATCAAAGCTAGATGAGATATTTTCTTCCGAGTCCAGGGACCCCCAAGAGCCTATAAAGATACCTGGTTGTGTACCTGTTCTCAGAAAAGATTTTCCTCTTCCTTTTCAGAATCTCTCTGGCATAGGTTACAAGGGGTTTCTGGAACGCTCCAAAAGGTTTCATATTCCCGATGGTGTCTTTATGAATACCTTCCTCGGACTGGAATCAGAGGCCATAACAACTTTGCATGAACACGTGAAAGGGAAGCCCGGGATTTACCCTGTTGGACCCATCATTCAGATGGGGTCGATTGATCATGAAAATGGGGTGGAGTGTTTAAGGTGGTTGGATAAGCAAGAACCCAAATCTGTTTTGTTTGTGTCCTTTGGAAGTGGTGGCACACTTTCTCAGGACCAACTCAATGAATTAGCCTTTGGGTTGGAACTGAGTGGCCAAAAGTTTCTTTGGGTTGTGAGAGTCCCTAGCTTTGAGGTCAGTTCTGCATACTTTGGTGCTGAAGATAAGGACCCTCTGCAGTTTCTTCCACAGGGTTTCTTGGAGAGAACCAAGCAGCAGGGGTTGTTTGTTCCTTATTGGGCCCCTCAGATTCAAGTGCTTGGTCACAGTGCGACTGGGGGGTTCTTATCTCACTGTGGTTGGAACTCGGTGCTTGAAAGTGTTGTGAAAGGTGTGCCAGTGATAGCATGGCCTCTCTTTGCTGAGCAGAGCCTGAATGCAGCAATCCTAACTGATGATCTGAAGGTGGCACTCAGACCAAAAGTTAGCCACAGTGGATTGAGAGAAAGAGAAGAAATTTCTAAGGTTGTGAGAGGCTTGTTCCAAGAGAAAGAAGGCAAGGAAATTCGACAAAGAATGGAACTTCTGAAGTTTTCTGCTGCTAATGCGATTAAAGAAGATGGATCATCTACAAGAACTCTGTCAGAACTGGTTGCGAGTTTCAGAGACTTTTAGCATATCATTTTGAATTTTAGTGGTTGTGCTTTGGTTTTCCTTTTCTACTCATCAGGTTTCAACTAGGATATATTTCACTAATTCAAGTGCACACACGAGAGGATCGCACCTCCCACAAAAGTTGTGCATAAAAGAATACAGTATAGACTAGGAAGTGACTCCTAGATCATCTCTCAAGGACCAAATGTGGTTCGAGTCTTAGGTCAAACACGTAGTGGGGGGGGATTTGTGAATATTTTGTGAATGCGAGTAAACTAAATTAAAAGGCGAATGTAAACATGGAAGGGACCGAAGAATTAAAATGGTTGGTCACTAATTCAATTACGTACTTTCAATCACCGATTAATGACAATTACACACTACTCTTATCCAAATCCAAGACGAGTCACCCAACTAATTTAAATCAACCGACCAAACTAGACAACATTAAAATGAAAATTGCTTGAACCAAATTAAATTGCAACATGGAATTTAAAAGTGAAAAGCACTCCGAGAATGAAGACACCAATTTAAAATGCTAAATGCACCGTTCCAAATTAAAATACTGAATGCACCGCTCCAAAGCTAAATGCAAAGAAAAAGGAACTTAATCACCATGGTTTCCTCTTTTATACGCTCGGATTGCTCCCTGCTATGCACCACTTTTCCTTCACCTAATCTACTTCTCGGTGCGCTACCTTTCTCCAAAGCAAAGAAAATGAAGATGACTCACGTGTGTGCTGGACTTCCCACTTCTCTACATTATTTAAAACGCATCCTAATCTCTAAAAACAATGAAAAACTCTTCCAGCCATCACCGTGCACCACACAATTCACCTACTCTACTTCTTCATTCTCATACAATTGCTGCCAAATGTCCCATCATCCTATACTTTATCCTAATCCACTCTTCTTATCCTCTGAATAAAATTAAAGACACCACCCACCTACCTTTCAATCAGCGTTCCAGCACGTGACCAAGTGTTTCTCTTTCTCCCAACCAATCACCATCAACCCGTGACAACCTTACGTGTACTGCTTCCAGCTCCCGTGAACACCATACTCCCATCACCTCTTCATCAACGAGACCCGTGCCTCATTTCTCCCAGCCGAGAATCACCTCATCTCAAAATGTAGAGAAAGAACGCTCGTTCACCGAATGAGCACACCATCCCAGCCGTCCGCGTGCATTCTCAAATCAATTAAATGTGCAGCTGTGTGCTATCTCTCCAAAAATGAAATCAGCGTGCGTAGTACTCCCCAAGACGTGACAACGTTCGCTTCAAAACCAAAATGAATGCACTGCACCGAGCTTGCTTATAAAATAAAGAAATGAGNAGTAGAGAAAGGTCAACACACAAACAATCTATATTGGTTTGGCTCATAAGCCTACATCCTCCTTCAACAACTTTAGTTGAAGGGAATCCACTATAATGATTGAGTATACAAGAATACAGAGACAACCCTCTTAATGCACTCCTCTCACCACTCAAAATCAAAATAGCAACACAAGAGATGAACACCCTCAATTTCTTACAAATACAAAGAGCAATCCTAGCTCTTAAACCTGGTTATCTCCACACAAGTACACAATACAAATTATTTGAAGAACCTGATCTTGAACACACTCTTCAAAGTGCATAATTAATCAGAACTAATGTAGTCCAATTTCCTTGAATGAATCCTTGTAGATTTATCACCAAGAAAGCTTTGTCATTTTATTGTGCAAGAAACCATTATTAATCTTTTAACCATTCATCATAAAAAACAAAGATATAAAGTGACAAAGCTCCCCCTATCAACAATCTCTCCCTTTTTGGATGATGACCAACAAAAATCATGTTTTCCTTTTACTCTCTTCCTTTGGACATTAACAAAAAAATGGCAGAACAAACAAGTAAAATGGTATACATTTATGCTAAAAACATCAAAATCACTTACAAACCATTTAAGAATGTGATGCTCCCCCTGTCAAAAAGAGTTAAAGCAATATGGAAGTATGTGAGCAATATATGAATAATATCAAAATAAAGATTAGCTCAATACAACTAATTCAAAACAATATATCATAGTAGTTTGACTTGTATCAGATCAAGTATATTGATTTCAATTGATATATCAATTGATATCAGGGTCATTTTTCAATACTCATATAAAGTAAAAAATATAAACGGAAGTAACAAGTATAATAGTATAAATGACATTTATTATGCAGTAGAAAATATGATATATGTATCAGCATAGCTGCAGTAGAGATAGAAATACATGGTTTATCTTAAAATGATGCATATTTCATAATATATAATAGATTTCAAAGTGAATTTGTGATGTATGAAACATATAACATGAATTTTACTCAGCATGTATTTCATGGCATTTTAAACTTGTTCAACAGACTAGAAATGCAGTTGTATGCTTATAAAACTAGATTCAGTCACTTAATCAATTACATTATCAGTGTAACAAATTAAAATTTGCAGTAATGGTCATGGTGGTTTTTCATTGCAGGTGCGTGGAGGAGACACAATATTATGGTGGTCTTCTCTGGTGACACTATGAAGCCTTGAACTCGCGATACACGATATTGTGGTGGTCTTCCTTTTCGCTTTTGGGCTCTTTGCTCTAGGTTGTGATTTCGAACAATAATGGCTTGCAGTGACTTTGTGTTGTTATGTGGTGGTTAACAAAGATGGAAGGTGCAAAGATGCACCGACAACAATGGAAGGAAGCCATGGTGATTTGGTGGTGAGGAGTTGAAGATGATGAGGTGGAAAGAGACCCTGGACAACCACATAAAAAAAATGGGTCACGACACTCACTACAACTCATGTGAATATTATGTCGTTTAGATGTTATTAGAAAAAAAAACTAAATTTAACCGGAATTTTAAAAAATAAACCTACTTTAAACAAAAATTAAAAAATAAAAATTAAAAAATATGGAACAAGTAATTAAAAAATATGGAACAAGTATTATATTTAAAATAACTATATATTGAAAGATTACGTGGAAAACAACTTGTTTAAAAAGTTCTTTTCGAAACACGAAATTGGAAACTAGAAAATATAGCAGTAGACAAATTCAAATTGACTTAAAAATCCAAGAGAATGAACAAAGAAAAATTGTCCTACTTAAGCTTACGTTTGAAAACGAGTTAACTTGGGAACCAAGCACATCGAAATCCTCACCACGATGCCAAATCAAACACGTTATACCACAATTATTTATTCTTATTGTACATAGAAGTTTTGCCATATAACATAAAACTCTTGCATAGGAAGAATCAAAGGTCAACACATTTTGAAGCCCTTAAATTTTAATATTACAAGGACCCAGAAAAACATGGTTATTCATCTTTTGCTAATTCCTCGAATATACTTTTGATTAATAGTTGCTCACATGAGATCATAGTAAGAATAATAAACAACAATTGTCATAAGAACTAAGGTTGTAATTAGAGAAATGATTTTAGAAAGAGTAAATGAAAGAATTTGAAAAAAATAAAAAGATGATTGTGATGTTGTTTGGATTAAAGGAGAGATAGTGTGATTTTAATAGATTTTTGATGAAAATTTATATATATGATATGATGAATATAATATATTAAAAAATCTATTTTAATGAATAAAATTAAATGATTACCATTTTACTTGAAGATAAAAATGATATAAATTTAAATATAAATAATAAAACTTATATTAAAATAAAATAAAATTTATTATTTAAAATTACAAAAATATAATTTTTTATTATTATTATTATTATTATTATTATTATTATTATTTATTATTATATATTATATATTGTATTAAACAGTTTTTTCTCATAACGTGACTTCTTATTCCACCAAACCACAAACACATAATCTGGGTGCCTCCTCCATTACTAATGTCCACACACCACAACTTCATAACAGCAGTGACCAAACGAACTACGTTCATTAGCACCTCCTTTAAACGCATCCACAATTAGGTCTGAAAATTCAAGGAGCATTTTGTAATTTAACTTTCAGACCCTAAAGTCTGCTCAATTCACAAAGGATTATTCCTATTCTCCCTCTCGCATATCCACGCCCGCAATCTCCCCCAAATCAGTTGAAGCAAACACGAATCATGCATCGTTTTCCTTCCTTGCCAATAGTACTTACCCTGAACCAAACACACTCTTAAATATATTTACATTGGTAAAGTAATTAGACATTCAATCTTTACCTTCTTATGAGAACAAATTATGGAGTGAAAAATTGTGTTTTGTAAGTTTCAATGTCACATTACCTTCAACTAGATTCGTCTTTAATATAATGAGTTTGATTCCTGTCTTTTTTGGTTTGCCGCCTATGAATCATGTTTTGCTCTCTATTCGGATGAATTGAATGTTCAAGCTATACATAGTGGTGATTCTGTTTTGAGTCTAAGAACCCCAAAGTGGGCCTTATTCACCAACAAGTCTTCTTAAGTAGAATCGTTCAATTCACCCATTTATAATTCAGAGACTACTGATTCTAAGTACATTCTGCCACTTAGATTCCATACATGCATTGTAGTTCTAATTCTAAGTACATTTTTTTTTTCATAAATCTGAAGCTTTGATCATATTTCCTTACCATTCCTAGAGAGCATAAGTCTGCATTTGCACATTAGTCCATCCGTTGCATATATTCGCATAGATCATCATCACTATATTTACATAAGCATGCATAAATTCTACATTTACCTATTAGCTGCCACATATTTTCTGTCATCACTAGGTTGGAGTTTGACCGTTGGTTTTGCCTTAATGTTCTGTGATTAGATAAGCTCCTTCACATCTTCGCATGAGGGCTAGCTCTTGCATTTGGATACCATACATGTAGGCATTGTCTTTTAGTTTTAATTTTTTCCCCATTTCATATTTTTTAGCAAGGTTGATTATATTATGTAAAGGCTGGAAAAGTTATAGGTAAATTATAAAAGCCTAAACACAACACAGAGCCACCGCTATTAAAACCGAGGCTCAACACTGCTAGGACTAGTGTCCAGTGCACTACTAGCACCTGACACCCAAAACAAACCGTCTGGAGCTACCCAAAAAGAACAAGCCGACAACGAAACAACAGAAAATAGA